GGAAAATGAGGTCAGGCCATGGGCTGGGGGCGGGGACTAAAATTACTCCCACTTCCCCGTATTTTTTTTCCCTAAGTAAAGGAAGAAGAGTGATACTGGTACCTTTCTGTCTGTATTTCTGGTTAGGATGATCTTTCAGCTCTACAGATATTCTCCATGCTTCGGCTCTTTCATTTATCAAAAATCATGGCCACATTCAGGACATGGGACACGGAAGAGATGGTAATCCAAGGACACGTAACCTGGCCTGGGATGGTGTATTAATTTTCAATTGCTGCATAACAAATTATCATAAAATTGAGCTGTTAAAACCACAACATTATTATCTCACAGTTGTTGTGGGTCAGGAGCCCTGGCACAGCCTAGCTGGGTCCTCTGCTCAGAGATGCTCACAGATAGCAACGAAGGTGTCAGCCGCACTGCAGTCATCGCCAGGTCCCAAGCGCATGAGGCTGCTGCAGGATGCCTTGGTTCCTCACTGGCTGCCAACACAAAGCTGCCCTCCGTCCCTTGCCACATGGGCCTCTCCAACACAGCGGCTTCATCAAAGTGCACAAGCCATAAGGCCATGCAGAGTCAGCTGGCAAGAAGTAGGTCACGGTCCTTTGTAAAGCCATCAGAAGTGACAGCCCATCACCTTTGCCATATTCCACTGGTTAGAAGCAAATCCATAGAACAGCCCCACTCAAGGGGAGGGGCTTATACCATGAGGGTGTGAATGCCAGGGTGATCCACCAGAGGTTACCCTGAGTTTTTCTTTTTTAATTTCAGTGCCTAATTAATATCTTAGAATGAAGATATTGTTAGTGGAAAATGCAGAAGCAAAACAACCCTCTTGTTTATAAACAAGATGATCTATCGGCTTTGGAGATAACAATACAAAGCAAAGCAAACCCCGAGCATTAGGAACTAAGTCAGTGCCCTTAAGAGAGGTGAAGCACAAAGGGCCTGTGGTTGATTAGCAAAAATTCAGTTCTGACTTGTATTTGCATCTTTAATCCCTCTCAAGACCCCATTAAAACGAGAGTGAATGAAGATAAAAGTTTCCTATTTTGCCCTGGCCACTTGGCCCAATTTGAAAGGTAGCATCTGAGAGGTGGACAAGGGAATTCAACACATTTCTGGAAGGAGGAAAGCAAGAGCAGCGTCCTCAGCCAAGAATGCACGTGGAAGGAGTTCAGCCAACGAGGGTCCTGGTGAGTTGGAAAGGCTTAGCACCATGGGGGCAAACCCAGGCAGATGCGGTGAAAACTAATGTAATGCAACAGTCAAGCCCCCTTTGGGACCCTGTGCCCAGACTGCCAGCTGAAAACTGCCCCCTCCTCTGGCCCCAGGGAGATCCAACCAAGGAAAGGAAGTGAACAGAGATGGCACATTAACCATCTCTCCTCCAGTCCAGCATAGCTTAGAAGACAGCAGACAAAGCTTTATAAAAGTCAATCCACAGGACAAAAAGAACATAAAAGGATTCAGTGATAGACAAGGATGTTCACCAAGGTGGTAAAAGGTAGAAAGCAGGTGGAGTGCAGCCAACCGAGAAGTTTTAACCCAGGACACGACAGAGGGAGATGCACCAAGAGACCCAGTGCACAGGGCAGCAGCAAGAAAGCTGGCAGTTAGATGCTTCTATGCAGTGGGTGGGACACCCAGGTCCTCCCCAAGCTTGGCTCCTTCCCCTCTGCCAGCAGCAGGAAGCCAGAGGTCCAGGTGGGCACCAGGCTTGGGGATCTGAGTCAGAGCCAAAAGCTGGGGGCACAAAGCTGAAGAGACAGAGAAAAGGTTGTCAGTGGCCGGGACTCTGAGAACCTCAGTTCCTTCCCAATCCTGGTTTCCAGGAAGCCCACAGGCAGGTGTACCCTGGCTCAGGTATCTCTTTCCTTTAGGTGGGGAGCCGAGATTTACCTCTGGGGAAAATGGCCACCTCAGAAAAAAGGCACCTGAACAGCAACATCTAGGGCCCCAGGGAAAAGGCCCACTTGCCAGCTAATCCCCTTACGGCAAAGACCAGCAGGTGAGAAACCACCCGTGAGCGTCTTCTTCCTCTGAAATGTGGAGCCAACATTTTTAACTTGTTCCCTTGCTCCCCTTCTGTGCTCTTTCCTGTCTAATGGTTTTGCAGCTGCCCACTCCTGTCCTGCTGGGCATCCACTCGAGAGCCTTATCTTTGAATGGCCATCTGGGTCCCTGACCTGGGATGAGCTAAGACTATCAGATCCAGGCGTCATGACTTTCCTGCCTCCTTAGACCTCCATCTCTTTCAAAGCCACAGCCAGGGATGAAGCCAAGGCGGTTTCACTTTGTTGCCTTTGCTGTTTGGCCTGCTTCCATGCACTGGCAGGGAGCAGTGGGCTGGTGTCTACCCCATCTATACTGGAGCTGACTTAAACCCCTTTGCCCCACAGCAGCTCAACTCCCAGCCACCACTGGCAGACCCATGGCTTTAATATTGTTCAACGCTTTGCATTTTGTTCTATATCTGACCCTTGGAGTTATCTATCATCTTTTTGAACCAGCCTCTTTTTCTTCTTTTATATTTTGGGTGTCTTTATTATGTTTGGAGCAGAGAAGTGGATCAAATCATGAATTCACTGTGCCAGCTTGATAGAAACCATTTTGGTTTCTAATACTATTTTACAGCAAAAAGAATCAGGGCTCCTGGTGGAATAGTTAATGGGCAAGAGAACTGAAGTTGGGAATAGAATACCACATAGACCAGTAAAGACAGATGGATTCATCTCTGAGCAGTAACAAAGAGTCAAACTGAAGGGACCAAATTTGTGATAAGCATCAGAAAGAAAACAATGATTATTGCCACCAGGACCAACTAAGTTGGATTAGGCCCTGAATCCATGATGATGTTCAAAAGGTACAAATAAAAGTGTGCCAAAGAAGCCCCAAATTCTGATCTGGATCGGGTGATTGGTGCTTGACTCACGCAGTACGCCCTATAGGAGAGTGGGCTTCACTGTGGTACTTGAACCAACCTCAGAATCAGATGGATCTGGACAAAAGGATATTTTAAATCTATTCACGGGACAGACTGTAGGGAAATGAGCTGGGGTAATACGTTTGGGCACCTACTCAGTTTTCTTCCTCAAGATGAGGCCAGGGCCTTGCTGATGCTGAGTTTAGCTCAAGAACCGAGACAGTCTGCTGTGTGTAAACATGCCTCTACACGGAACACATAGATCTTCAAGGTCAGCTTTTCTAGAAGGGCGTTGTAGGCCCCCATGTAGAAGGACATTTGGGTAACAAGGATTGAGCTCCTAGATCCAGTGAGGTCCCACTTTACGTAATGTCTTCCTGGCTCCTGGGAAACCCACTGGGGACCTTGGTGACAGAGAGAGTCATACCTGCTCTTCACTTCCAAAATAACTTTGTAGCTTTGACTAATTCTATCAGGAACTCATTGCAATGTGAAGAGGCAGGGGGCCTTCCTTGCCTATCTGGTGATACCTGAAACAGTTCAGAGCAAGAAAAAAAAAAACCTGAGGATATAGTAAAAGCAAAGGGAGGCCATAAGATCCTCCAGGGTGAAACTGTTGTACTACTCAGTTCTAGAGTGAGCACTATTTATATAATCATGGTAATGTAAATATTTGTGTTGCTTTTCAGCTTTTTTGAATAAATCTTTAGAAAAAGTACAGAAGATTTCATTATGGTTACACAATAGAATGTAAACGTTTAGAAAATTTTTTTTGCTCGTGAAGAGTCAGGAGGGGAAAAGTGAGTAAAAGGCTGGAAGGGCAAGCAGGGAGCTCACTGACACAGCTCACAAAGCGTGCAGCAGGGGACCCTGTCCACCACCAAGGCCGGGGAAGCAGAACCTTTCTGAGGAGTAATTAGGGAGAACCTGTTGGAATTTTAGAAGTGTATCTGGAAGGACCCAAAGAAACCAGCAACAACAGCTGCCTCTAGCAGGTGACCAGGGTGACCGAGAGTACATCATACACACTCCAACTTCCAGGACGTCCCCCTCCTGAAGGGCAGCGCTGGTGCACCACTGAAGCTCTGCAGCCATGAGCAACCTGTTGGCCACGACCACGAGGCCTGAGAGATGGGGTATCATAGGACAACCGCCATACATACTGCCATGTGGTAGCTGAAGAATCAATCAGATTCTGTGTTGAGGAACTTGGAAAGGTGTCCCTAATATCTCATTTAATGGGACAAGTGAGTTGCTCAACATGTGTAAGATCGCATTTTTGGTATGTTTTAAAATCCTATGTATATATATATATATGGCTTACATATGCATGCAAAGTAGCATGGCAGGACCACAGCAGACTCAACAGCAGTTACTTCGGGGGGTAAGAGTGGAGAGGACAATTTCCACTTGGGTATGTCTTATTTGAATTATTATGAGATGTCTGTATAACGTATGGACCTTTTTCAATAATTTCCTCTAAGTATAACCTTGCCCTGCCAAGTGAAAAAAGGCTTTGGAAGGTAATGAATTAAGCTTATGAACTCCAGGAAGGAGCCGCTATGAATATCTCTGCCTTCCTCAAGAAGAGGCCCATCAGGGCAAGGCTTTTCCATGACAAAGGCATTTCTGTGCTAAAGACCTCGGGATCCATCAGTGTGGTGATCTGTCCCATCTGAACTCAAGTGTTCAAAAGAGTGGGTGGTGAGCTCTTGTATGACCATGAGCTCAGGGAGTCCCTCGACCATCATGGAACTTGAGAAGCCTCCGTAAATGTTTCTTGATGAATGAACTACCCAGAACACTGTGGTGAGTATCCCATGCAACCTGCAGCTGCAGTTTTCATGTTCTGGCCTCACAGAAACCCAGCCTGGCAGGGGAAGGTTGAAGGTATCCAAAGGGTGCAGTGAGGGACCTGATGAAGGGCTGAACCAGTAATCCCCGGGCAAGGCACACATTAGAAGTGCCTTGGTTAGGATGCACACACTTCCTAAAACCAGAGGTCATGAACTTCCACCCCACCAGGGCCAAGGCCTCTTGTCTGGAGGACACTGATTGCGTAGACATCCACATCAACACTGCCCACGGCTGCTGATTGTTTATTGCACGAGAAACTGGCAAAACTGAGGCAAGGAGGTGGGCATTACAAAACAATCTGGTGACCAACCCAGAGCTACCGGAGGGCATTCTGTACAGACACCTGTTATACACATGTATGCACACACACACACGCATGTACATGAGCATACTCTTCACACCCATGAGCATGAGGTTTCCAACCCCACACTGCAGCTTGCTCCCTACCAACATGGTGGGACGCTGCAGGGAAGTACAGCAAATGATTCAGGGAAAGAAAAAAGGTTGAGCTGCGGTGACCTGAGCCTCTCACATCAGCACTGGCAACACAGTGGACACCTCTGTCCCTCTGTGCACCAGGGGAAGGACGAGGATGTGAGCGCACGACACTGTCCTGTGACCAGTCTGAGGGCCCACCTGGGGTCCTAGGAAGCTCGAGCCAGGCGGCAGCTGGTGATCAGCGCTAGAACCTCAGGGGCCTAGACCGGGAGCTCACGACAATCCCCACCACTCGGGCCTCACAAAGGAATATGTTCACCATGCAGCTCTCAACACAAGGCAGAATGCCACACTGGAGGCAGCAGGAGCTCCACAAATCAAGTCAAGGAGCTAAAGGCCCTTGCGCTGGTTTCCAAAAGCATTCTTTCCTCGCTTCCTTGCAGATAAAGGAATATTTTCCTTGCAGATAAAGCCTCGCTTCAAGGCAGAATGAATACGCTCTGGATGGACAGATGCACTCCATTTTCAACATGGGATAAAAGGGTCCGCCTAGAGCCTTAGGGGCTGGCAGGAAACAACAGGGTCAGGCCCACAGGCTCCATCACCTGGGGCTTCCTGGCAACTACATCTAGCAAAGGGAGTTCTCTACTGAAGGCCGCAAGGCTAGGGTGGCACTTGGGACACCACCTCCTTCCCTGTCTGTCAAGGCTCGGGGACTGGACCGCTGTGCAGCTGAGCCACCAGGTCAGAACTGCTACTCGGGTTCCTAAGAAGAACCGCTGTTGGAGAAAACCAGCTATGTGGGAAATTCCTGGACCAACCATGCTGGGGCCTGGAGGGACCCAGGTACCCCAGTTCCTTGACAGAAAGTGACAGCAGCATGCCAACTCCAGAACACAGAGCAGCCCTACACACAAAGGCTTCAAGTTCATGTCAAAGGAGCAGTCTGAGGAGCTGCTGTTTCCATCCCACCGATAACACCCAAACAGCTGGTACCAGCCTTCATTTGCTGGAAAGAACAAAACAGCCAGCACTGAGCAGAGGGAGAAGGGTGCTGCGCAGCCTCCATGGGAAGGAAGCGAGGCGGCCGTCATGCAGCGCTCTGGGTGCCGGAGCAGCTCCCCCCTCGGACCTCCGTTTTATACAGATCACTGGGAAAGCTCTCTGTAGAACAGAACCTCTTTCACTGGCCAAGATCCTGGGCCTTCTCAGCCCAGAACAGCTATCCCGAGTGGCCAGTCTCCTTCTCACCTAACTAGCCCATGAGGCCCAAGGCTTGTGCAGCTGTCCCTCGGCCCAGGACACCCTCCCTTGCACACTCATGCACACCTAGGGTCAGTCTTAGAGGAGAGGAAGGGAGAGCTTTGCAGGGAGGGTCAGCCCTCTAGACTTTGCAATGGGTGATGGGGCCAAAGGTGACTTTATTCCAGACTGCCACCAGTGGGTAGGAGGGAGGTGGGTAGGCAGGGCCTTCCAAAGTTAGGCAGGCTCTGCCGCTACCAGCCTGATGACAGTGTGGTCCCATGCAGGTCACCTGCAGGGGCCTCCCAGGGGCTGCGCGACCCCTGGCCTCTCACGCAGGGAGGACTCATGACTACATGTGCGCTGGGGGGCGTGGGAGGGGGCGGCCTCAGTTACTCCTGTCCAAAGCCCTCAGTCTCCTCAATGGCGTATAGCAGCTTCTCTTTCAGCTGTTCGTAGCTCTTGTATGGCGGGAGATCCAGGCGGTTGAAGCTGTTGAGAGGGGAGTGGAACAGTCAGCGTGGGAAGGTCTGGGCTCCAGCCCTGCCACAGCCTGGCTTCAGGAAGGGGAGGAGAAGTCAAAACAGTCCACACAACTGTGGCTCGACCACACCAGAGTCCTTGAAGGCCCTGCTGTGTCCGGCCTCCATGCTTCAGGTCTCTGGACCACAGAGGGGTCAAGGGAGGGGGCCAGGCAGCTGGGGAAATGGGGGGTGGGCAGGAGGGTACTCAGGGCAGCAGCTTTTTACCTGCTGTAATAGAAGTGTTTATACTTAATTACTGGTATGGCCACAGGGATGCATGACTGCTGCCACCTCTCCCAAAAGCTCAGAGGCCCCTCCTCTACAACCCCACTTCCCAGAGCAAGCTGGGGAGCCAAGGCCCTGCTCCCCACAAGCTGCCCTGCCCAATGGGCTGCCTTAGGAGCTCAGCTGGTCTGTGAGCTTCTAGCCACCTCCCACTAAAACTGGCAAGCTCACCAGGTGTGGCTTCTGGGCAGCCAGGTTTCCTTGCCAACCCTGTCGATGCAAAACTTCTGTGGTCCATTGCTACCTGATATCCAAAGAAAAACACACCATATATAACAGGACCCTCCGGCTTCACCCACAGGCTTGGTACCCTCCCACTGACTTGCTTTCTGGAAGACACCAGGCCCCGCCATGCCCTTGGGCTGTCCTCACCCCACTTACCAATGAGCTCAGCAAATCCCCCAACAGGCAGGCGGCAGGTCCCGGTAACAAACTGCAGCAGCCGGATCCTCTTCTCATTGTCCATCTCCTTTACCACCTGGAACTCCACAGGTCAAAGTAGAATCAGGTGCCCTGTGCTAACCTGTAACGTGCCAGTCAGCCAGGGCCCCTTTTTGAAAAGGGGCTGAGAACAGAAAGCCTGGGCTGGAGGTGAAAGTGGGGGCGATGGGGATGACAGCACTGTGTGAGGGCCACCAACCTGGGAAACCTCAAAGCTGCTCTGGGATGTAGTATTTGTTGACATTCCCACCAGCCCATGGGACATCTCTGGGTCTCAGGGATACCTTGGACCAGGTATTCTCTTCTCATCCAAGTTCTGCTTTTAAAAATACACTAAGGATGGGAGTGATTGCTAAATGGGTACAGGGTTTCATTTCAGAGAGATGAAATGTCCTGGCATTAGGTGGTGGTGACAGTCACACTGTGAAAAGCCACTGAACGGCAGACCTTAGAATGATTAACATGGTAGATTTTATGGTATGTGAATTTCACCTCCACAAAGAAATTTTTATGTACCTATTCTTTTTTATGTATGCTATACTTCATAATGACAACAAGACACCCACACAGAAGGGAATCAATTATCATATCCAGGACTCTGAGCTCATTCAGCTCTTCTGGAGCCAAGCACAACCTTTGGGAGCTCCCCTTCCTGCCAAGTTCACCGCCCTGCACACCAGCGTTCACAGCTGGCCCAGGGCTGACCACCAGCACCTCCTGTCGATGCACTGGCCTCAATCTACTGGGTTTCTTGTCTCCTTTTGCAAGTTGGGCGAGGTTGGGAGAGTGTCGGAGATGGGGGAGGTGATAACACAACAAGCATCCTTGAGCTGGAGGAGGTCCAACCACATCTCATCCCCTGCGGCTAATGGCTGAAACTGCCCCACGAGACCCTGCCCCGAGCTGGCGGGGACGCACCTGCCAGAACCACTGGATCTGCTTGCTGTTCTTGGTGTAGTGCCGGTAGATGGAGTTCTTCTGCCAGTCACTCAAGTCTATCTCCTGCATGCCGCACAGCATCAGCTGCAGAGGACGGGGAGTCACCACCAGCGCCTGCCTGCTCCCAGCAGCTGACACCATCTCAAACACTTTCACCTGCTGCTGCTGGCAGCTTTAACAGTTGGGATAACACAAGCCTTGACTGGGGATCCCTCAGGACAGGGGCTGGAGGAAGGGTGGGTGTGAGGACCAGAACCCAAACTCTGCCCGACTGCCTCGGTCTCGAGGGAGCACAGCGTTTTACTGGTGGGTTCCTCCGGGTACATAACTAGACTGGCCCAAGGGCAGGACTGCCCCAGAGGCAGGGGCTCAGGGCTCAGCAGCCTTAGCTCTCACCTCCAGCTCTTTCTCATCAAAGTAGCGCAACCACTCCAGGGGGGCCACCTCGTTGAAGCCATCCAGGAAGGCTTTGGTCTGCTCCTCCACGCCCCGGGTGAAACGCCAGTCAGTCAGCAGCCTAAAACCGAAGACCAGCCATCAGCGGAGCCCGAGTGCCACTGCAGGTGCAGCTCAGAGGTCACCGTCACACGGCGGCAAGGCACCGGCCGAGCTGGCTGCCAGCTTTGCAAACCTCACAGTAACCCAGAGAGATTCCTGAGCCTCTGGCACTGCCACCAGCCCCTCCTCCCACCATCGCTGAGTGAACCTCAGACAGGTGGAGGTTAGAGAATGAAGCAAGAGACCTGAAGGGCACACACAGGCAAATGCACACACAGACACGTGGGAGCTGGTGGATTTCAACATGCAGGACACAGAAACCCCTTTCAGTTAGGAGTAAGAAGAGGGAGACAGCTAAGTTCCATGCTAAGAAACTCAGGCCTGCGGTCTTGAAGCCCACCACACAGGAGAAAAGAGCAAAAGCCCCACCGGCTCTGCTCAGCGTGGGGCCAGCCACGGGCAGCTGTCTCCGGCCAGTGCAGAAGGGAAGGGTGTGACCCCTGGTGACCCACGGGCTGCGTGTGGGGGCCTGGCTGAAGAGGGAATCCCTGAGACAAGAGCGGGAAACCCTTCCAGTGAGGCTGGCTGTGTCCCTCAGACCCCCAGGGGCCCGGTGCATGAGACTCACATGATGTACTCTTCCTTATTCTCTTCTGTCACCCGGATGCTCTCGCCACCTTCCTTCAGCTCATGGGTTGTCACTTTGCCCAGGATCTCCATGTCCTGGATGAAGTACAGCTCTAGACCACACTCTTCTAGGCTGTTCTCTCTAGGGGCGTGAGACACCAAGAGAGAAGAGGTCGATCTCAGAGAGTCTTCCCTCAATCCTGTTCTGTCACTCACTTTTAGTTTCCAGGGGACACGAGGACTCACAGGTGGCCTAGAATCCAGAGCAGTGGCCCTCAACCTCTCCTGATACAAGGAGAGGATTCTGCCCTGCAGGGGGACCTGGGAGCTGAGCATCTCCACAAGCATTCTGACAGCCTGTAAGTGCTCAGGGGCCACTCTGGCAAATAATGTAAAGGCCAGCAGCACCCACTCCCCAACCAGAACCCCCTCTCCTCCCAGCATGGGGCAAGGGAGGCGACCCACTTGATCCAGACGATGGAGTTGTAGAATTCGGGATCGATGGATTCCAGGTCTTTCAGGGTTGGTCTCTTGCTGAGCATCCGCTTGTAGAAAGGGAGGGTGAAGCCTGTGTCAATGAACTTCCCATGGTACAGAGCCTGAGGAAGGAAGACACAGAGCAAAGGGTTTGGTCTTCCCAGGAGGCGGTCTCTGGGACGCTCTGTACCAAAGCCTGACTAGCGCTACCTGCCCTCCTGAGGGCAGCACCTGAGCACCCAGCCACCTAGGGGTTCAAAGGGATGGTCTGAGAAACAAGCAACACTCTTCGTCCTGACTGAGACTTGCCATAGACGCTCAGCACACCTGCAGACCACAGGGGCTGGCAGAGGGGGCCTGCTCAGGCAGCCACTGCCCGCCCAGCACGCCCGCCTGAGGGCCCCCTGAGCTTGCAGAGTCAGGTCACGGAGAAGACTCGTGCAGCGCAGCTCCAGGTGGTAGCCTGGCTCACTGACGCTCAAAGCTGGGTGGCAGACACAGCCAAAAATAATGCAGACGCCGTCAACAGTGAGAGCTGGCGGGCCAGTGGTGAGTAATAGTCTAGCGTTTTACTGGTCCGGCCTGTTGGCTGCTGGGCCAGGCTGGTCTCTAGACCTGGGAAGAATGTGCCCACTTCCTGAGCCCAGCACCTTGGCCAAAAACTTCCAGACATGGGGAAGGGACATATTTGGTCACGGGCTCTTAGGTCCTCCTGTGAGGGGAGCAGGCAGAGCACTTGGCAAGTCAGGAAGAAGCAAAGGGAAGTTAGCAGTGAAACATCTCAAACTCCCAAATACGGCAGCACGCCTGTGGCTCCCACGGACTCTCCCTTCTCCAGTCTGGTTCTCTGCACTCACAGGACACTCAACAGGACACAGACTGACGTGACCCCCTTCCACAGTCCCACTGAATTCCTATTTCTAGATAAATACAGGTGCCGTGACCCCTCCTTCCCACCTGTTCACCCATCTCCTGAGGATGTCTCCTACATCCTGCACCAACCAGTCTTCTAGGGTTCTGTTCTAAGCTACTATAGATCCCAAATCCCTTTCCAGAAGGGCTGGGTGTCTCAGTGAGCCACCCCCAAATATACCCGAGGCTCATGATAGACAGTGTCCCCTGCCCAAGATGGGCAGCAGGTGGAAGTGCCCATCATGCCAACACCCTTGACAGGGTGTGCATCCAATGGGAAGTGAAGTCCAAGGCCCAGAGACCCTGGGCTCTCATCTGACAAGTGCTACACAAGTCAACACATGAAAACTCTTCCAATGTCCCTGGGATGCCACTGAGAGAGCTCTGAACTATCTCCAGAGCTCCCGTTAGCTTTTCACATTTGAAGTTAGGAGTTCTGTGAGGCTGACGGTGGGGCTCAGAGTGTGGGTGCCTGTCCCCTGGGCGCCTGCTAGTGTGCAGGGGCTGGTCTCCTCAGCTGCCGCCCTCACTGGAGGTCCCGTGGCAGTGACTCTTACCATGGCAATGAATCGGCCAATAAAGCGGAAGTAGGTGAGGTGGTCGGGGTTGATGGAGGAGGCAGGGTTGATCTGCAGGCAGTAATTGTTCTTCCCAGCATATTCAAATAAACAATACATGGGGTTGAGCACCTCGTGGGACAGGAGGAAAAACCATTCTCTGTGAAAGAGAGAGGAAAAACAAGACTAACGGACCCCTGCCTGCACACATGCACTGGAGTGGCAACTCTCCTCTGCCATGCTGCTTCAGCTGGTCTGGAGACATGCATCCTGGGGAGTCGAGCCTGGGATCAGTACCTGGGCTAACCTGTACCAACAGCTGGTCAGTGAGCAGGGTAGGGTCAGACCTAGGGTGAACCAGAACAACAACTGCACTTGAGGATGAAGCTTAGGAAAGCCTGTGCACATGTGTGTTGGATTCCTGGTGTGAATTCCAGTACTTTACATCCAAGATCCAGAGTGCCTAACGGCACTGCATCCTGAGGTCACCATGAACAGTTGTTTAGGCTGTGCATGGCACAAGGGCACTATGTTAAAATATAGATTTGCACATTTATTATAATAATTATCCTGCAAAGAGCAGTCAAGGTGTTTTATTTTGTTTTTATCTGATAAAACCAGGATATTATGACCATTTCTCTGCAAGTGTCTTGAGAAAGGACACCTTTTTCTAAATCTTGCAAATGTACTGTATGGATAGCAGCTGCTCTGTTCCCACCCTACCTGGGTAGGCAGCATGATATGAATACACAGTAATTCATTCCTGAATCCTGATGCACAGCAACCCTGTAATCCATTCTGCTACTAGATTATAAGCTTCACTCCCACCAGCTATTCTGCAGGGGTCTCAGTTCCCTTGCATTGTGTCCCCCACCCCATCTGAGACCCCATCATCATAGCCTTTCCCATACTCCCAGGCAGCCATCTGAACCAACACCCATGCCTCAGCATCTCTGCACCCTAGGCACAAGCCTCAAGCCAGAACTCAGGGTCCTTTCAGGCTGGCACTAAGCCAGGGGGATGTCCCCAGCCGCCGGGCTGTTTGTGGCTGGGCAGATGAGGAGTCCTTCGATGCAGAGGGTGCCCCGGTATCCTGTCCGTGGTTCTACCCTGTGGTAGAACAGCATGACGTAACCTACCATAGGGTAAAACCACTGGCAGGACACAGAGAGACAGACACACACGGGGCGGGAGCCACACCACCAAGCGGAGCCTGGAGAGCAGGTCACCATGAAGAAAGGAGCAACGGATCCACGGGGCCGACCAGAGGGCAGCGCCACCAGCCAACAGAGGGCCACAAGCAAGTTAACCCAGCACCAGGAGAGATGTCCCCACACCGCGAGAGGTCAGCAAGCTGAGCAGTCACTGCCAACCAAGATGATCCTGCTCTCTGCCGGGGACCTTCGGCCCCACCATTCGAGGCAGCGTTGTGCCACAGTCTGTTAACATTTGTAGGTGGACTGGGGTGAGGGCAAAACAACGCTCCGTGCTTGTCTTATGGTTACATCAGCCGTTTTAATTTTCTGCACCGAGTACACACAACATGCAGCTAAGTATTGATCACAGACCTTTGGATTGCTACGCTGTTTATATATGTCAGGTATACATGACATAACCCATCTACAATATGTCAGGGAGACACCCAACTCAACCTACCCCGGCTACCTCAAGAGGAAGAGAAGCCCAGGGCTGGTTTTAATGGACAACCACGAGGCACCAATACTGCAGCTGGACTGGTCAAAGTATAAAAATAATGAGCCCCTCCTCCAGAGCCTCCCCATGACACTATTATTCAAGGGTCAGTGCCTAGCCCAGCTGGGGACCCTAGCACCCTGCTCTGGCACCCATTCAGAACAGCCATGCCCATGCCCATTCCTGAGTGTGCATGAGAGCTTTGGAATCAATCTGAGCAAGGCAGAGGCAGCTTTCTACCCATGGGCCCTATAGCCTGGGGAGGTGGAGCACAGAGCAGCCCCCAGGGACGCCAAGCTCACCTGGCGATGCCGCCATAGTCCAGGCCCTCCTCTCCACGCATGATGATATAGAGTCTGCGGCGCAGGTCATAGGGTTTCATGTTCATGATCTGAGAAGACAGAGAATTGTGGCCAGCCTGCCACTCTCGCTCCCATGGCAGGCTGGGGGCAGAAGACAGGGGACTCTGAGGCCGGCTTACCAGAGGACAAGTATCACTGAGGCCCATGCCTGGGAAACTCTACCATGTGGGTTTAAAGGCCATGTGACAGAAGATGGGGTGGAAGGTTGGGGGGGGAGCCATCTGCCTGCCGTTGGTTTTAGACACAATGATCATTCTCTAACCTGTTGGAAAGAATCCTCAAAAAGCGTCTGCCTGGAAACGCTGATCTTCACGTGGCTGGGGAGGGCATTCGACTGAAAAGAAAAGGAAAAACAAATCTCAAATGGGGCGTCAGTGATAACTTTTCATTCTGGTCCCCTGCCTGTATGAAGAGGCTTCCCCATCCCCCTGGGCAGGGAGGGGAGAGCTGGGTCCCCTGAGCATGGAAGCTGGCCCACCTTCCTGGAGAAAGTGCCAGGAAACCACTCAGGGTAAGAGAAGCAACCGGCTGCCATCTAAGATGCAGGCACTCCAATTCCTGCTGCCAGGCTGGGAGACGGTGCTGAAGTAACTCAGTAATCCCCAACCCAGGAGAGGTCCCAGTACCAGAACTTACATGGCAGAGGAAGCGGAACTGGTGATACTTCCACCGAAAACTTCGGTCATAGGCTCCGGGGGAGCCTTGCTTCGTCCTGAGAAGAACAAAGATGTTCTGGAATCCATGTGATTTCTCAAAAATTAGCAAGCTATCATGTGTGCCTTAAGGAAAGCTGATGCTATGTTAAAGACACATAAGATAAGGCAAAAGAAGAAAGGAAGTGACTGTCACTGAGATCCTCTGAAGATCTGAGGAGCAAAAAGAAAACTAAAAACAAAGACAGACCTCTTGATTTTAGAGAAAGACCTCTGGTGTCACTCTGAATAAATAGGTAGCCCCTTCCCTGCCCATCCTCTCTGAGGTGACACTGAAATTGGCCACTAGAGGGCGGAAGGAGCAGCAGGACAAGGACAAATGGCCTGTGCGAACATATACTGAGGTTGCCTGTGCAAAAAAGCCTTTACCCAGACTCAAACCCTGGGCGTGGATCCTTAAAGGTGGTGGTACGGGTGTTGTGGTCCACGAAGTAGCGTACGCCCTCACTGGTGTACTTCATCTCCCACCCTGGGGGCAGAGCTGGTTCCTGGATCATCCTGCAAACAGGAAGATAGGTTTAAGGACTGGCCTCTCCTGCTGGGCCTCAGTGGAGGCTGGAGTCCCCAGAGTCCTGCTTTCTTTCTGCCTTCACCCAGGCCCTGCAGAGCCCTTGAGGGAGGGCCTTAAGGGAGGGCCCTGATACCACCCAAGTAGTGAGGACAGTTCTGCAGCAGGTCATTTACTGTCCCAAGCCAAAGAGCCAGTCCTGGGTGGACAGCGGTGGCCTAACTGGCCACAGCCATCCTGCAGCACAGAATGCCCCAGTCTCAGACTAGCTTCTGGGTGGTGGAGGTATAGGGTATCAGGAGTGGGGTCCTCTCAACCCTTTTGAAATCCCTTTATCAGCAGCCTGTAAAACTGGCACAGAAACCAACACCTGCCAGCCGGGCCACTCTCTACCCCCAGAAGGTTAATTTAAGGAACCACTGCCAAGCTCTCATTAGGCAAACACCATATGGTGAGGGTCTTGGGGCACTTGTGAGTAGCCAGGGGCCCAGAATATCCACCGGGGACAACCAATGCAGTCCAAGATCAATGCTGGGGCTGTACAGGGGTCCGACCCGGCCCGATCCCTCACCCTTGGGTCCGAGGGTCCTCCCACTGGGTGGTGCGTGTGTTGTGGTTCACGTAATACACCCGTCCATTGTCCTGTCTCTTCTCTGCCAGGGGAGAAGAAAAGAAGACAATCAGATTGAAACATCCTGAGCCTATGTTCTCTCCCTTCTGGTTCCCACCTTTTGAATTTCTGAATTTCTGCCCCTGTTCCCAACCTGTTGGAGAAGTTTAACCAGCAAAAGCCTGGCTCACTCACATCTGTCACTGGCAAAAAGGACAAAGAGAATCTTTCTCCACTGGGGAGCGGGGGAGGAATATACACATTTTCCACTCAAGATCAAGCACTGTCTTTGGTTGGAAGGTTCACCGGAGGGAAGGGGGCGGTGTGGCAACACAGAGGGGGAGCAGCCCAGCCGAAAGCAGAGGCGTAATTGCATCCAGCTGTGTGCAAAGTGGGGGCAAGGCAACCTCCCCAGAGCCCTGGTCCCCACCCCAGTCCACCACGGCTGGTCTCTGGTCCTGCGGCTGCTCCACCCGCAGAGGCAGCCGACCTAGGCGCCTCTGTCCCACAGGCAGAGTCACTGCGGGCGGCTGCACTCTCCCTCACGCCTCTCTGATCAGCGCTGTACACCACAGAGCCAGCCTACCATCCACCATGTCTCTTAGTTCTGCTTAAAGGCAGAGTTTTGTTCTAAGACTCTCACATCCCACAAAAACTCTATGTGGCACATGTGCAAATGAACACCTGGGGCCATGGGCACTTACAATGCCCATTTTGTTCATACACCTAGGCATGTGCTTCAACACAGAGCAATGTTTGGGGAGCTCAGACACATTTTCTCTCTCCTCCAGACAATCCTTACTGTCGCCCTTCTCCTCGTGTGGTGATGAAGGCTCGGGTGCCCCTAGGGGGGAGTGAGGGCTCCATGGACAAACCCAACTCCAAGGGATGATCCCAGACTTGGAGAGGAGCTGAAAGGGGCGCTCCACCAGGTCCAGGTGGATGGAAAGCAAGACTAGGCTCCAACCCAAGAGAGGCCATCTTTCCCGTTAAGTTCCTGAGCCTTCAAATCTGTTTCTGTCCTGAAAACAAATGATGCTAACCACCTCGCCTCTTTTACAATGACAGGATGAAATTAAAGAAATAATCAGCTCCAGAAGTTACAAGGAAACCAAAAGCTGAAAAGGGGGCAGAATTAAGGGGCCCACTCTCCTCCCCTCAAGTATCAGGCTGAAACGTTCCAGCATCAACTCAGGGTACTGGTCTCTCTCTGTCATGCCTGGTATCTGTTACTTTACAGAAATTTTAAAAACACAGACAAAAGGAAAGAAAGAAAAGAGGGTGCCCAGGGTTGCTACAAAGCTACCATCACAGCACAACAGCCTGTGGGATCATCTCACAGAAGGCAGACTTCCTGAGACAGGTCCATGGGGAAGAAGGGGCCCCCTTGTAGCCCAGAAGCTTCTGTTTTGAACTAGATCCTCCATGTCTGCTCTGCCAAGGGCCAAAGCCAATGCTCACCACCGGCCGGGGGATCTGTCAGCCAGCCCAGGCCTGTGCTCTCATCTCTGCCTGGGGGCCGCTCATGGCCCACCGCAACTGCCTTGCTACAAACAATGTCACAGTTTGAGGGCTGGGAAAGTCCTTAGGAGAGCATCTAACTCGACCTCATGTCGAAAAAACAGACTCAGCAGCATTCAGTCATGTGCCCAGGGTCAGGGCTGCTGCGGAGGTGGGGGTCTAAACCTGGGATGTGCTGCCCCTGGGCTGGTGCACATGGAGAACTGTGGGGTCTCTCCTGGAGGAGCAAAGGGACCCAGCACTGCGAACACAGAACACAGGCTCATGCTAACTGTAATTCTCTTTGGGGTTCACTGCTCTTTCTGTTCACTCTCAACTGTCCCTGGGGAGGTGGCCTAGCCACAGCCCTAGGAAAGCCAACACAAAGCCCAAAGGATCTGATTAGGAAGGTTCCCTGGCCCTTAGTCAGCTGTTCTTTTTTTTCTCTGCATTACAGTCTTGTGTGTTTTCCTGGTCATTCGTGAACAGCACTGACTCCAACCATGGCTCCTATTCCCATCTCAAATATTTCACACTTGGCATCTGGAGCTATTTTTGAGTCCCCTACAGTTGTTCTTACTTGGTGACCATCATTTAGCAGAACTAATACAGAAATAAATCACTTGAGTCTACAGATCCAGGAATCCTGGGTCCCAGGCTCTATCACAGTGTCTACCGGCTGCCAAAAAGCATCCCAGATTCTCGTTTAATCTGACACGTTTCCCCTGCCTAGCCCAGGATCCTATGGTGGATTCTCTCACATTTGACTTGCTGCCAATCTCTGAGATACCAATGACCTTTCATCAGCTCAGGGAGCCAGGTGGGCCATCTGTGTGCATGAGGGATTCCCTAGCTGAAGATCAAGAACTGTGTGAAGGCCTCCCTAACTGATATACCCCCTAGAAGGACTGAAATACTTCCAGTGCTCTGGAATACAGTGGTAATTTACTAAGTGATACGCTGCAGGTCCACAGCTCTCAAGGCAACCTTGTACATTACTACCAGGGAGTAGTTGTGTCTGCACCAAGAGGATCCAGCCAAAAGTTGTACTTTTCCAGACAATGCTCATCCCATCATTGTCAGCTTTTCCATCTTTGCTGGGGAGCACGCCCCCACCCAATTTAATGCCATCTGTGAACACCACCAAACCAGACTTACTGTCTTCTGCTGGCCTAACCAATAAATAAAATCTGACACATGCCAATTCCTGCAAAAACTGCCTTCTTCAGCTTCCAGGGACTCTTGCAGCATTGAACAAAACCCTGACCAAGCTCAGAGCTGCAGAATGCACTGAGTCTCAACATCTCTCATGATCTCTTTTTACACAGCCACTCCTCGCCAGAATAGACATAAAGCCCATAATCTCTCTTGAGTCATGGCTGTCCATCCCTCTAACTCGATAGCAAGTCACACCAATGACTCGGAAATTTCCAGTAATATTGAGAATCTAACACAGCATTATTAACTAGCAATGGTGCACTTTCATAGAGTCGCCACCCAGTGCTCAACTCTCTTATCTATTTCCCTCTGGCCTCTTTCAGAGCTGTGTTGCAAATTAAAAGGTGGCTTCCATTAGTCAAAATTAGGTTGGAGTCCCCCAAAATCTCAGCTTCCAAGGAAGGTTTGGTGAGGTGGCTCCTGCCAATCATACACAGACCACAGGCCTGAAACAAAAGTACCTGGGAATCAGCCAGCATCAAAATGTCTTAGTTAATGATACAATGGGTGTTTGGATGACACCTCGGAAGTCAGGACCAAAGCCCAAGAGCCCCACGGCTGCTCGGGCCTTCTTCCGTCAGGTCACACTCCTTCAGCGATCGCGGGCAAATACTCCAGGGGGGCAGGGGAACTCGGCTCCTCTCCCAACCTTTCAGCTCTATCCCCTGCCAATTGTTCCGGCGGGGCATCCCCCAGAGAGCGTGTCAGAGACAAGTGAACTGGGAAGCCGAGGGACGGGAGCAGGAAGAGGCGCAGGGCGAGAGGACAGCCTGGCGGAGCACCAGCTGACTCAGGGCTGAGGGCACAGAAGCAGCGCTCATCTACTTACCCCAGCCTGGAGGGAGGGGGCCCAGTGGGTCATGGTCAGTCGCAGCACTCGAAGACTAAACACAAGAAACAGCGGAACACAGAGGTTTAAAAAAGCTGCTGATTAAAAATAAATCAATTGATAAAAACAAAAAGGTCAACAACTAATTTCCACATTTGAGCACTTTGTTGAGGATACAGTGGGGCCTTGGGTGGCATTTGCTCCTCTCAAAAGGTTTTTTCAAAAAAGAAAACCCCGGAAAGGACCCTGCACACTGAGGGCCCAGACAGGTTTTGGAGAGGGTGGAGTGGTGGGCAGGAGGAGGTGCGCAGATGAAGGTGGGCCAGGAAAGCGGAGACAGGCGCGCGAGCCCCAGGCATGGCAGGAGAGCCCAAGCAGGACTGTCGGGCCAGCTCAGCCGAGTGCCTCTGTTCAATTCGGCTCCTGCTCACAGCGGCCAAAGAGACTGAAATCACCACCACCTCCAACTTTCTCCAAGAACCACACACGGGAGGGGAAAAAATATCACAGGCCTTTCCAATGAAATCATTCCCACAAGCCCTGCCCACGCCCAGAGCTTCCTGGCTGGGGGCTGGGCCCTCCCCCTTCCACCTCCCTCCGGGGTGCGCTGAGAGAGGGAGCCGCAGCGGTGTGCAACACCAGCCCAGACTGAGGGCACATTCATGCCCCAGGCCCCTCACCTCCCCTAGAAATGTTTTGCTTCCTTTCACAAAGCACCTTTATTCTCCATCGGCCTGAACCTGAAGTTGCTCAGTGTTCTGTGTGTGCCTGTCTGGGGAGGTGGGGCTGGGGGCAAGGTGACAAGCGAGAAGGGGAGACAGGAGAAAGAAGGGGGAGCTGACTCCAGGACTTCAGGGTCACTGTTTACATTAATACCCCCCACCCCCAGCCTGATTCTGCTGTGAGGTCCCTGGGGCAGGGCTGCAGAGGACTAAGAGGTCTCATATCCTGCAGGGAAGGGGACTTGCTGTCAAAAACTCTTCAGAGTTAAATAAAACAAGTATTGTTCCGTGCTTGCTTACCTTTATTTTTCTTTGAAGCATTTTTATTTCACTTACTAAAATTTAATTGTTATATTAGAGGATCAAGTTCTTAATGCAGACTTTGGGCTGCCTGGCTAGCCCTGTCTGGGGGTGATGGAGCCACACACGGGCAGAAGAATGAATGGAGCTCAGTCTCGGCTTGAGAAAACATTGGTGGAACTCAATCGCCAACGAACTCCCTTTCAGAGCCGGCCCTCCACCCCCAGCTGAAAGGACAGAAAAACTTTCTTTCCAAGGTGGGAGCACAAGCAGCTCCTGCACAGCAAGTTCCAACACAGACATTTAAGTCTTGAAACCATAGGTTCCTCGAGGGGACAGAGCCCCCTTTTAGCAAAGAGCCTCCTGCTCAGCAGAACGAAGGTGTGGGAACTGGTTTGTCTTCAATTTAGCGCACGTCAACCTGGAGGATGAGCTCAAAACCTCCACCTCAAATCAGATTTGTCTGACGGTTACTGAAAAAGATCTCCCAGACTCACACAGGTCATTCTGGTGGGGGTGGGGCGTAGCATTCCATAAACTCCATGTTTGTACAACTTTGTTTTGTAGATAATACATAAGAGTAGTAGCTATAAAAGCACCCAGCAACAGAACGAAAGGAACTAACACATGAAATACATCTGCAAAAAGAAGGCAGTAGGTAAGGGCTGAGCTGTAGCAATGTTCTTGCAAAAGGGAAGAACTACAGAAAAGATCATTTTAAGAAATTAAAAGACACAGTTGATGCAAAATTGCTGCCTCGGGCCTTTTTCTCGGAATGAGTGGATAAGCCATGAAGCATTCAGGAGCTCCAATGGGAAATTACTCCCAACTGGTAGCAATAGGGATTTACAGTCATCTTTTGCTTAATTCCACAAATCAACAGAGAAAACGGTCTTCCCTGACAGCCTCCATGTATATACCGAACAAGAACCAAAACTATTTATCAGCTAGCAAATATTCCCCTTCTCAATACCATGACGTCTAGACTGTGCAGGTTCATGACCTAAAATGATCAGATGCTACCACTCAGAACTTCAGGGAAAGACACCAAAGCACAGGGTTTGCTGGGGATGACTCACCACAGCAGCGGAGTCCACACTGCTATGGAGTATCAAGTATTTAACAGCCGCAGGAGGGGGCAATGTCCTGTGCAAACTATTCCTTTGTCTCGCCTACCCCTCTTTCTGCCAGAGCTTGGTTCCTTATCATTCTGTGAATCCTATGAACCCAGTTCCCCTATGACAAATTCCTTTTCTGCTTAAGTTTAACCAATTGGGTTTCTATTATTCATCAGAATGAACTTTGACTTAGTATATGAAGCACAAGTAAAAAAATTAAAATAAAAAATATATATATATATATATCAGCCCTTTTCTTAATCCCTGCCTTTTTTAATGTCACAAACTTCATACAATATTATAAGCTCTCTTTTGTTAAAAGTTTCTCCACCCCTTTGGCATCCTTCTGTTCTCATTCTATCAGATCCACACACCCCCAAAATCTGTGAAAAAGGGAGAGAAGAGGGAGCAGAGAGAAAAAGGAGACCAGAGACTGATAAACAACACACAAAATGTAGTCAATGGAAGCTGTCAGTCAGAAAAATTTTACATCTCATGGTTAAAGCAAAGCACTTGACCATTTGGGGTATTTTTTCCCTAATGTACATGGTACAACTTGAAAAATAGGGAAAGGGAGTGGACAAAAGCAAAGGAGAAACAAAAAATAAAAGCTACACATCATGGCGAGAAAATCAAAGCCCCAAATCCCCACATCTCCAAAGAGCCAACCGACTCCCCTTCTCGTCTACCACACCTCCCGCAAAATGACATCCTAAGGGTTCCCTGAAGCACAGCTGGAAAAGCACAGAGAAAGGGCCATGGAGGGATTACAGTCAGAAGAGAGACCCTAGGATGTGCAGGTGACTCTAAGAGACAAGACAGTGTCCTTTGTTACTAGGAACTGAAAGGAATGCCATTGAATCATTTTTCCCAGTAATGGCCCCTGGGTTGGGAGGTCCAGGGTGCAGGCCACAAGCCAGATGGCCCACGTGAATTCAAGTCTCACAGGGACTGAGCACTAAGTTCCGGTAATATTTTAAGATACAAACTCAGAAATAAAGTATGTCTAGCAAATACTGCCGAGGGCAAGAAAGGCTCTGGGAAGGGCATAAAGGTTACAGTGTGTGGACGGCAGGCTCCTTCTAAGGATGCACCCAATCAGCCCAGAACAAAACCCAGGTACTTGAGAACTCAACCCAAAGGAGCCCCTACAGAGTAAGAAATAAGTTGTCTGTTTCTGGATGGTGCCATTTGGCATCTACCCGTTAGAAGCCACAGAATGTTTTGTTTCGGTCCTCCAGATACCAAAAACCTCCTTCAGTTACTAGGGGAGGACCAAAGCAGGAGTAAAGGAAGTCGGGCCGTGGAAATGTAGTGGGCCGTGAGGTGAGTCCTGGTGCAATACACAATTTGCGCGACGCAACGGGGCATCCTCGGTGGGCCAGAGCACCCTCAGGAAGCAGGGCAGAGTGGGAGTGCGAGGGTAAAACATGCATCCACACACAAGCATCACAGGCAACAAAGGCATGCTGGGGCTTTAGGAAAGGGAAGCATGTCCGGAAAAAGGCGAACCATAACAGAAACTGGAAAAGGTGTGTGATCAGGCAGACAGCAGGAAGGCACTGCGGGAGACCGCCATCTGGGATTCCCTTGATTTCCACCTTGAACTATATTTTGTGTTCTCTGCAGGGCCGTGAAGAAGAACAAGGTCTTGGTTCAGCCCAGCAGGAGGAGGAGGAGGGGAAGCCACTGGTACAGTATCAGCTCTTAAGTCTTCCAAGTCAAACCCTGGACCAAGGCCAAACCCCAAAATAACTCTATGAAAGCAACTCTTCTTACTTGTAACCAGGACATGGCACCACAGCAAACAAGAGGGGCAAACCAAATCCAGTGGGGAGGGAAATCAACAGAGAGATACTGCAAGCTGACCCAAAAAAGACATTCCTGCCCCGTTTTTCAAGTTGAGTCTTGCTTCATGGGGAAAAGGGAACCATCGCCTCCATCCAGAACCCTCCTCCTCAATTCCTAGCTACGCTGAGAAAATCATTTTCGAGTACTCAGAGAGAAATTCTTTTTCGCACTTAATTTTTACTTCTAGGGGACCTTCCAAGTCCAAGTTCCCCCTCTGCAGACCCAGAAAGATGTTGCTAACGTGGGGGTGGCAGGCAAGAGGAATGAGTGCCCCAAAAGACCAAGCGGAAGTGAGCTCCGCAATCTTCCCTTTTGCATGCCGAACATCTCAGCCGACCTACAGAGCCTACTTGGTGCATGATAGGGAAGGAAAAAAAGATTCCTTCAATGGTTGTTTTGTTTTGTTTTTAACTAGAGAAGTAAGCAGGGAGACAAAACCATGTGAGAGTCCTAAAATGTGTCTCTGTCCTCTAAGTCAAAGGAAAAAGATACACACGTGTTCCCAGTTTTGTATCCACGGTCACCCAAGAAAGGGCAGGTAAAATCTTTAGGGCCCGGCATAAGAGGAACAATTTCTAAAGTGCAGAGAATATCAGATCCCATCCAGTCTTGACACATGCCAGAACCAGGGGCCAGGCATGTGTGAAAAGGGCTGTGGAGTGGGAGGCCTAGCAAACACATGTGGTACTGCACTGGGTCAACTACCAGGCATGGGTTGCAGACGGACATTACAGTTACCCTTGGAGGCAACTTAATGTGACAACACCATGCTTTCTGCTCATCTACAACCCAGTCACTGGTGGAGGTGCCAATGGGATGCATTGGCTCAGGAAGGTAGCTGTGGGGCAGAGGGGTGGGAGACAGGGAGGCCAGAGGGGGGTGGTCCTAAAGGGACACAGCACAGTCAGTACCTAAACTACTGGGGGGTGCCAATAAAACTTTATATTTATTTATTTATTTTATACAAAAGTAGGTATGGGCCACAATATGCCAACCTCTGATCTAGATGAACTTTAAAGGTCCCTCCATCCTTGAGAATGTGTCAGAGAATAAGGGTCTAAAGAAAAACGATAGCAGCAATGGAAAGAGGATGTGGGTGGCCACTCTGAACTGAAATGGTGAGGCATGGGAGAGATCAGAGCGGACCTGCAACTCTCAAGTCAGAGTAAATGGACTTGGATAGAGCGGGCCAGAAGAGAAACCCAGTCTTGGAAGAAAGATGGTAAATTCATTTTCGAACATACCATGTCCTTTAACACTGAGGCTAGATGTGGAATTACTAAATTAGAGACAATGGAATTTGAGGAATTTCACTGTGATGAGTAAAATCTCCAGAGTCAGAGTACTGACGTCTAGCCACCGTCTTCCCTCCCTGCTTGCCAAAGGAGGCACCTTCTACAGTGCCCATAGGTTCCCCTGCCCTCACGGCGAGCCCCTGCCCTCTCACCTGGTAGAGGAATCTTTGGCTGAAGTGCTGCATGGCGCCCTGGAGCTGGCTGCGCTGGGACTGCCACTGCTCGTAGTTCCGCACGTACTCAGCTGTGGGGCGCTGCCAGGTGGTGGTCCGAGTGTTGTGATCCACATAGTAAAACCTGCCTCGGGGGTCTGTGCGTTTTTCCCAGCTGGAAACATTAAGCTCAGCATGACTGTCGTGGCCACCCCCTACCCCAAATCCTACAGAAATCTCAGGATGGCTGGCAAGAAGGGCCCAAGGGGGGGTTAAGTGTGTGATGTCCGGCGCAGGAGCTTGGCTGCTCCAGGGAGACACAACCAGGCAGGCCCCAATCACGGAGGCTCTGGGGCATCGATGATTATATAGAAGAGGTTTGTGCTCACCTCCACACCAACCGATCCCACCCCACCATTAGCTCCTGATTTCCATTTAGAAGAACCACACTTCCATGTGGTTCTGGGGAAGCTGACTGTACTCCCAACCTCAGAATTGAACTGTCCACCAGACCAGGAGCAGGCATGTGGCCTATGCTGGGCCAATCAGGGTGAATCTTATGACTATGCTAGGAATTCTGGGGAAAATATTGTTTCTCCTCCTTGCTGATGTGACTGAAAAAGCATGCAGACCTGGGATCCACTGGCTTCTATCTTGGACTCAAATATATGAAGTCAACCCAGTAGGTGGCAGAGCAGAAAAATAGGGAAAAAGCCAGCCCTTTAGTGATACTGTTGAGTCACCTAGATAAGTCTTCACTTAAAATGAGGGTCTACATCTAGAATTTTCAGTTACATGAGCCAGTGAATTCTCTTGATTATTTAAGCCAATTTGGACTTCAATTTTTGTTCTTGCAATTGAAATTATCCTGATAGAAGGTGTCAGTGAAAATATGTTGCATGGTCTTGAGAAGAAGAGTTGCTGCAAGTAACAGTGGGACTTTCCACATTATCTTAGTGAGGAAGCAACCTTGCCAAAGTCGGTCCTATAACACCCATGGGCAAGGTTAGGCTAGAACAGATGGGTAAAAGTCTTCAGCTGTGCTTGGGAGGTGCAACTCAATTTCCACACACACAGGGAAGCAGTAATCAAAAGAAAGTAAGAGAGACAACTTTGCCGGGGTAGTAGAAATGTATCCTTTGATGGGGTGTGGGTTACATGAGGGTATGCATGTGTCAAAACTCAGCAAACAGTAACCCTGAGATTTGTATATCTCACTGTATGTGAATTCTACTTCAGTTTTAGAAAGTGAATTTGAATCTAATCAAGCCTCCATATCTAACTACCAGTTTATAGGAAAGACAAGGAAAGGACAGAGGAGCATGTTAGACAACACCATGAGGTCACATCAGCCACATTCAGAACATGAGAAATTCTACAAGACAAATGTCCAGGATCTGCAACAAAGTGCCAGAAAAAAATAAGAAAGGGGAACTTAGAGATGGAGAGAGGCTTAGAGACACATCAGCCAAAAGCAACTGTGTTAATCTTGAGTTTGGATCTGATTCAAACAAATCAAGTATAAAAGCATTTTTAAGACAAATGGGGAAAACGGAATACAGACTGGCTATGACATGAAGTAAGGAAATATTGTTAACTTTGTTGAGCGGAATAATGATATTTTATTTTGTTTTTTTAAGCCTCATATGTTAGAGATGCATGTGATATATTTATAGTTCCAAGGATATGATGTCTGAGATTTGCTTTAAGTCCCCTGAAAAGTAGGAGGTCAGAAGAAACAAAATGTTACTAATTGTTAGAACCAGGCAATGGTTATAATGGATTCATTGTACTATTCTCTCAAATTCGGTGTATGTCTGAATTTTCCAATACAAATTGGAAGGAGGAAAAAGGGGTTTTCAAAATATAAGAAAGAGATGCTACTGAAGAAAACAGTATTAAACCAATGCAAAGGGAACACCCTACAGATTATATGATTTCAAAGTGCTGAAGGCCTTTGTTCCCTAACTACATTTTCATTTCATCTCTGAATTCTACCTTATTCACATGACTGTCATGTCTGGTACATTCCTCAATTTTCATGGTGAGCCTCCCGGCTGCCTTTTTTTTTTTGGCCACCTTTTCAATGATTCCTTTAAACTCAAAGCCTCCTAAGAATGGCTTCTCCTTGAGCAGTTCCCAGTCCACACGGCCATTTCCCAGGCTGGGCTGGATTCTGCCCGCTGGACTGCCTTGCCTTCACGGCCTGCTGTCGCTTTAGATGCAGCTAAATGCCACAGCTCTCTCCCCAGACCTCAGTCTTCCCCAGTGCTCTCCATGCTAGCCGTCCTCCAGAGACAAAACCACACCATTATTCTCCACTCTTCTTTTCCTGATGAGATCAGCCAAACACCCAGCCTGAGGGCTTCTTTTTCACTGTCTCCCTGTCCTTGACTTTGTATTTCTATGTCCAACTGCCCCTGAACTAACTCCCACTCTGAGCCAGCCTATAAACTGCCATCTGGGGAACCATTCCAGACCGGCCTCCTTCTGTTACGCTCTGCTCAAAAACTTCAATTGCCTGTGCACTGCCCTGGGGTCAAAACCCTGAGCTAGGATGCAAGGCTCACAATCTGGATCCTCCCACTCTTCTCATAAATCCTCTCAACTAGTGATTTTTATTTTTTATCATAGGAATCGTGTAGACTTTAAAAATACAAAAAGCACTACAGGGGACACAATGAAAACCAGTGTCTCCCGCCCTACCTGTTCCTCAGAAGCAACTACTTACAACTCTCCCTGCTTCTACTTATAGCCATATTTCTAAATAACATGATTATTCCATTATTTCTTGATTTCTGCCATATGAGATATTACTTATGGATTTTCCATTGCCAAAGCTGAGGAGTTAGTTCTTGTATCCTACCCCACAAGACATGCAGGGCCCTCCTCTCTGGCACTCTCACAATTTATAAACACATTAAATAGATATTCAGAATTTGTATTATGACTTTGTAGGACACTATAAATACATTTCCTTACTTGTACAACTTCTTCTTTCCTGAGTTGAGAACTGTGTGTTTCGTTCTGCCTGGTTTTCAAGAACCTGTCTCTAATTCACCCCAGACTCTGACAGCACAGGCGGCCTCTGTGTCATTTATGTCTTCGCCCCATCTCTCCAGGTACCCTTCGTGCAGTGTGAACAGCTGTCCTCCAGGTCTGCCCCACGGCCTTATCCTGAGTCATCACCCCTCACTTTCCTCTCGGGAATGTCCCTGGTTCCTGAATTGAGCTTCATATGCCCTGCATCTCATCCCTTCTTTCTTGGTTCCCTCTTGTCTGGTGGGATGATTGACTAGTGGCTTCTGAGAAAAGATGCACCAAAGTTAATCTTTTGAAACACTACATGTTTTAAGAGGGTTATTTCAACCCTCACCCTTGAGAGTTACAATAACCAAAAGTTGATTTCTAGACAGGTAATGATTTTCCTTCAGAATTTTGAGGGTCCTGCTCCACGGCTGCTGTTGAGAAGAAGGATGGTATTCTTGATTCCGGATCCTTGGTGGATACCCTACTTTTTCCCTCTGGAAGCTTTTGAGATGTTCTCTTGGCATTTTGTAATTCCGTTAGGATGTGCTTTTGGGGTGGGTCTTTTTCCATTCTCCCAGTTGGGCATTGGTAGGCCCTTCAAATTTGGACTCTTTATCCTCAATTCTGGTTACCAAAGGTTCAAGGTTAGCTTCTTTCCTATCTTACTGTCTAACTTAACTTGCTTATTGAGCCATTATAAACACTGTCTGATGATTCTTTATTTCTCTCCCTTCTTATTTCTCCTCCTCCATTCTTCATATGTTGGGTGTTTTGTTCTGTGCTCTTTTTAGGAGTGTTCCCATCTAGAGCAGTCCCTCTAAGATACCCTGTAGAGGCGGTTTGAGGGAGGCAAATTCCCTCAACTTTTGCTTGTCTGGGAATTGTTTAATCCCTCCTTCATATTTAAATGATAATCATGCTGAATATAGTATTCTTGGTTCGAGGCCCTTCTGTTTCATTGCATTAAATATATCATGCCATTCTCTTCTGGCCTGTAAGGCTTCTGTTGAGAAGTCTGATGATAGCCTAATGGGTTTTCCTTTGTAGGTGACCTTTTTTTTTCTCTCTGGCTGCCTTTAATACTCTGTCCTTGTCTTTGATCTTTGCCATTTTAATTATTATGTGTCTTGGTGTTGTCCTCCTTGGGTCCCTTGTCATGGGAGTTCTGTGTGCTTCTGTAGTCTGAGAGGCCATTTCCTCCCCTAGTTGGGAGAATTTTTCAGCAATTATTTCTTCAAAGACACTTTCTATCCCTTTTTCTCTCTCTTCTTCTGGTACTCCTATAATGCGGATATTGTTCCGTTTCGATTGGTCACACAGTTCTCTTAACATTCTTTCATTCCTGGAGATCCTTTTATCTCTCTCTGCATCAGCTTCTCTGCATTCCTGTTATCTGATTTCTAGTCCAGTAATGGTCTCTTGCATCTCGGGCATTCTGCTTTGAAGTCCTTCCAGAGATTGTTTTATTTCTGTATTCTCCCTCCTTAGTTCTTGCATATTTCTCTGCAAGTCTATTAGCATGGTTATGACTTTTGTTTTGAATTCTTTTTCAGGAAGATTGGTTAAATCTATCTCCCCAGATCCCTTCTCAGGGGAGGATGTGGAGGATGTCTGGGTTAGTCTGGTCTGGATCAAATTTTTTTGCCTTTTCATGTTGACAGATGCAGTGGTATGCTATTGACTCGTCTGTCAGCTGGGAGAGCCAAGACCCTTTCCACTTGCTCCTGGCCTTTCTTTACTGGGACAACAGCGACCCCTAGTGGCTTGTGTTGGGCAGTTGCACGTAGACTGGGTCTCTGTGTCTTGCCCGGCCACTATGGAGGAAGCTCCCTTGCTGTGGGTGTGGCCAGCCTCAGGCTGCTGCTCTGCTATGGTGGGGTGCCGGAGGGGGAACGGACGGGGGGCTGTTTATCACCGTGAGGGATCTCAGAGCTGCTGCCCAGGGGGTAAGGGCACCTGGAGTTCCCTGGGATTCCCAGCTGCTAGGCTAAGTGTCCCGGGACGCTTTCGTCCAGCTGTGGAGTCCCTGCCCCTTTAAGACTTTCAAAAAGCACTCGCTTTTCTTTGTCCCAGGGGCGCCGGCTGCAGGGACCCGCTCACAGGTCTTACTGTCCTGTTTCCCTAGTATCTAGCACCCCATGCACTGTGTGTCTGCACTCTGGGTGCGGATGGATAGGGCTGGCTATTTAGCTGTCCTGGGATCCCTCTCCCTCCCCGCTCTGACTCCTCTCCTCCTGCCGGGAACTGGGGTGAGGGGCGCTCGGGTCCCGCTGGGCCAGGGCTTGTATCTTACCCCCTTCGCGAGGCGCTGGGTTCTCACAGGTGTGGATGTAGTCTGGCTGTTGTCCTGTGTCTTCTGGTCTCTCTTTTAGGATTAGTTGTATTTGTTATATTTTCAAAAATATATATGTTTTTGGGAGGAGAGTCCCACTGTCCTACTCAGGCCGCCATTTGGCTCCACCCCACTCTTATCCTCAATTCTGGCAATTCTCTTTTATTCTCTTTGATAACTTGCCATCCTCTATTTATCTGTTCTTTATTGCAAAAACTACTAGTCAAATGCTGGATTTCCTAGACTCACCTTGTAATTTTCTTATCTCAAACTTTACCTTTTGATTCTTCTATTTAATTTTTTTTTTTTTATTTCTGTAGTCATAAATAATCACATCGAAAATCTCTTTTCTCTGCATGGTTCATTTTATGGTCTCCTGTTCTTCTTGCATAGATGCCATGTTTTCCTCCCAAATCTTTGAGGATATGAATTATAATTTGGTTTTAGTTTTTGACGTTTTAATTTTTCCAGCTCCTACACTGTTTTCATCAAGTCCCTTTTTCTCTATCTGCTGGTCTTTAGCTGTTCATTCACATGTAAAAGTGAGCCACTAAAATGCCAGCTGGAAGTTCTGGGTACTTTCCAGTGGAGGCTGGCTGACTAGTGGCTTCCCTCAGCTGTTTCACTAGCAGCAGCCCAAATATCACCATCTGTAGTTCTCTTCCCTTCGACTTCCCTTCACTTTCTCTAGTAAAAAGCTGTTCAGTCTTCAGCCTGGGAACAGTATCCTCACCTAATCCCTTTTTCTGAGTTCTTCACTGCCTTCAGCTATGGCTGTGTCCTTCAGGCTGGTTCTGCTCTCCCACGAGCTCCTCACACTAGCAGCAATCACATGGCTGTGTGTGTGTGTGTGTGTGAATACATGTATGTGGGCACACATGTGTGGTGTAGGGACAGGAGCAATGGTTGACAATCTAGAAATCTAACTGTTCCCTGCTCAAATTTTAAACTTAACTTGGTCTCATTATACACACCCCCACCCCTACATGTCTGACTGCTGAGGCTTTCCAGGACTCCATGGTGCAAATTAGTTGGCTTCCTGGTGGATAATCCATACTGTAAGGTTGGGTTTCAGTTTTCCCAGATCTGCCATTGATCTATCAGCAACTAAATTGGGATTAGTATCTCCCATATGCTGTTTCTATTCTTCCATTTCTTTATTATTATACTTTTTTATACCTTTATTACCATTTTAGTGGGTTTTCAGGAAGGAATGGAAATGAACACATGTTCAATCCACATGTTTAACTAAAAGTACTCTGCACTGGTGAATTTCAAACTTCAAAGCCTAACCCCACCCTTGATTTCAGGTGAAGTCTTACACAGAATCTTACTCTATAAAAACAGAGTAGTGGGTGAAGCCCACTGAGTTCTTTCCCTCTCTTTGGTTCTCACTAGCATGTCCCCCAAACCTGGGGGCCTTGCTGAATACACTTTGAGCATCTTTGTTCCACACAAATCTTCCACTCCAGTAAAGCTGCTCCATGCGTCTTCCCTAAAGACATCTTTTGCATTCACACCATTACCCCAACCTGGATTGCCTTCCTCCTATTTAAGTCCACCTCCAGGCTTTCCTACAAGACCAAGTTCAACCCACCTCCCTCTGTAAGGCCTCCCTGATACGTGCGTGCTCCATAGTGACCAGGTTCCCTGCTCACTTCTGGTCTGAGCTCTGCCTAAGAGTGACCAAAGAGCAAATTACCACATTCATCCTTGGCTACCAGGGCCAATACTTTCTGCTTTTGGATAAAATGACCATCCTTATACAAGTGTCCCCCTGGTCTGACAGAAGGAGACGGCCACGATAAAGAGATTCCTTTGGCTCAATCTTGCTTCTTGGTGACGAGGTCTGTTGAAATAATGGCTCCACCATCTGTACTTTCGAGATTGCTCTAACCATGGTACTCCTTCCCTGGGGTGGAACTTCTCCCATTAACTAAGCCATGAAAGCTTAAGCATTCTGTTCTCTCTGGGTTCCCTATTACAGAGTAGAACTATCTGCCATGGGCTCAAAGGTCTGGGCCTAAAACAGGAAGACCTAATAGGCTATGTCTGAGCCACCTTCCAATAAGACATTAAAACTCCCTGAAAATAAGAAAGCTGGATCTAGTGTCCCACCTCAGTTAAAGAAGAGTAAATCCTTGGCCACCCTGAGAAGACAGCATTAAATATCTTCACTTTGATTCCATCTACATGTTCACCAGCTCAAGTCCTACCTAACTTACAGACCAAAGAGGTCACAGGGCAGCAACCAGCAGAGTTAAGAGTTCGTTACTGCTGTTTTTAAATGCAAATACTGTAAATATACGAAGTACAAGTGTATGCAACACACTCTGTTGTAAGTCAATGACTATTTTGTGAGACAACTGAAGAAATTTTACTAATGACTGCGCATTTGATGACAGCAAGGAAATATTATTAACAATATGGTGGTTTTGTTTTTAACAAAAGAAAATTTTTTAGAACTATATACTGAAATACGGATAAAGTGATCCAATGTCTGGGACTTGCTTCAGAATAATCTAGGACAGGGAGTGGGGAAGGGGTGAGTGAGGATTACGTCTCAGGAGTTGGCAAACTTTTTCTATGAAGGGCCATGCAGGAAATATTTTAGGCTTTGTGGGCTATACAGTCTCTGTCACAATTACTCAATCCTCTCACTGAGCACAAAAGCAGCCATAGGCAATAAGTAAACACAAGAGTGTGGCTATGATCCAATAAAACTTTATTTATAAAACAAGGTGGCAGGCTGTAATTTGTCCACAGGCCCATAGTTTGCCAACTATGAAATGAGACTGGCCATGGGTTGATAATTACTGAAGTTAAGTCTGACTATGTGGAGATTCTCTCGATTTTGTACATATTTAAAATTTTCCATAACATGAAAATTCCCATAATAAAATGTTTAGTGTATTTCTAAGAAGTCAGTGTTTAACTTTGGTGACTTCATTGGACTTACAGTCAAAGTAGAACACAGAATGAGGACTAACGATCACAAGTTAGAAGTTTCACTTCTGGAAGGGTAAGGAAAAAAAAGGAAAACACAAGCATTGTACTGGAAAACTGAAACTAAAGCAGCCCATCCATGGAAATCTGTAGCACCAGAAGATGAGGTGGTGTTTGCCTGGCACACACCAGACAGCTGCACCACGCAGAGCACAGGGGTTCTCCCAACACCCCTGCCTCCAACATCCTCTCCCTCTGCAAAATTAGGAGGGGGACATGTTCCTACTTTATGCAGGAGTCCCTCATAGCTGCTTTACTGGAAAGTGATTCTTTCCTGAGAGCACAATATATTCCCTTCTGAAAACTCTCAGGACTGGGAGACACATGTGGAAAGAACTTTCTGTCCCTGGCAGACAGGGAACCAAACCCCTTCTTCTGAATTTGGACAGTCTGCCCTCTCTTGGAAGCCTCACTCATCCCTTGGTTTTGGAGAACTCAGCTACTCTCTCCCAAAGCCAGCTGAAGGAAAAGCACACATCCTCAGGGGCTGATTGGACACAGGGTGCTGTGAAATACATCGACACCCTTTCTAGCTTGACTTCCTCGTGTCCTTTTTCCCCCAGAGGCACTCTACAAATCCTAGTATGTCCTTAGAATACAAACAGAATTAAGGTAGGCAAATAAGAAAAGCAATCAAGTGGCCCGGGACAAATGGCTCCCTCTGCAGGTGAAATGACTGAGGGCCTCCAGACCCTAGCAGCCCAGGAGGCCTCCCCAGCCCTCCTTCCTCTGGGATCCAACAGCCACGGTGGCTCTGAACAGCACTTATTAAAGCCCATGGCCATCAGTCATGGCCAATACAATGCATGTGAGGAGAAGGGAAAATAGAAAGAGAGAGGAGAGGATATAAAAGGGTGAAAATGATGGGAAGAGAGGAAAAGAGGGAACAAAAGGAGGAGAATGGGCAGAAATGAGGAAATGGCTGTGGCAGCCAGTGGTAGAGAAGCCAGTAGGCGCCTCTTGGTGCCAGTTCTACTGTTTCAGGGCTTGACAGTCCATGCCTTACCCTGGAGGAAGAGGCCGCTCCCAGGTGGTAGTCTTGGTATTGTGGTCAACATAATAGACACGCCCATTGGGCAGCTCTCGCTGCTCCCATCTGAAAAAGAGTTACGGGAAGCATGAGATATACAGCTGAAAGGCATAAGCCCTTGTTGGAAAGGGCGTCCTTCACTACTGGTACAGCTGATTTGAGAAGAAACATCAAAGACGGACATGCAAGATCAGCCAGTGGCCAGACCAGCTCCATGCTGTCACTGACGGTGGCAGGCCGGAATGCTTCTTAAGAAAACTGTAATAGCTCCCCTTCACGGACTCAATGTACTAGGATATGCTACAGAATGCTCTAAATTCCCCTAAACAACCCATCTGAATCCATATACCATGGATTTTTCCAAATCACTGTTTCTTGGCCACTTGGGGATCAAAGATCCCTTTAGGAATACAAAGAAAGCTGAAGACCCTTTCCTTCCAAAGGTAGGAAAGGTCATCACCACCGATGAAACCAAGGCTCAGAGAACCTAAGTAAATCTTACATAACATTCAAACTCAACTCTGACTCCCTAGCCCATGATCACATCACACTGAACACAAGAAAGAAGGAAAAGAAAGGTCAACTGGAATTTACAGGGAACCTACTGCCCAGCAGGCAAGGTGCCAAGTGCCTTCCCAACCCCCACCTCAAAGTGAACAGCTTTCCCCAGCACTGGAAATGTAGGGGACCTTGTAGAACCAAGATGATTGGGGAGGAATTAGAACAGATCCACCACGTTCATTTCCAGTCGCAGTTTTAATCACAACCCTCTGCTAAGATACGATCAACCAGAAGAGGCTGCACATTTTGCTCCACTGGGAAGGTTATCCCTGAGAGGTCTGGCATTCAACCCTCCCCCTCCTCAAAAGGGGTCAACTGCTGGGCTGGAAACCAGAGTGCTACAAACACCATTAAAATGTGCTCAAGAACCTCTTCCCTCCTTGTTCAAGGTTCTCATGGAAGCAGATATCAGGGACTTGACCCGGGGCCCTGGCTCCTCCCACTGTGACGGGAAGATACTGCACTTCACTCGGTGTTTTATGGAAAGGGCAGAATCTTCCAGCACAGTGACCAGATGAAAATGGGCAAAGTTAAAGATCTCCTTATGGATGTCCACCTGAATTAAAGATAGGAGCAACAAATACTGCCAACTCAAGAGGCTGGTGTCCCAGCTGTGGGGATCAGGGGGGGACCTGTCAGCAAAAAAGGCAGGCTAAAATAACTGCAGCATCACCCAGTTGCCCGAACTCCTCCTGTCTGCCTGGTTGTGGAGGAGCAAATCTGACACTCTCTTTATTCATCTTAATTCGGAAATGAGGAAAGTCTTGAGAAAGACAGTTTGCTTAAGGGTAAGAACTGCACTATGGAAACTCCTCAAGCGAAATGGCAGGAAACCACTCTTTTGTACCTGTTGCTCTGAATTAAGACTCCAGGAGATAAGAACTCCTCAGCATTCCCTAATAAGTTAGCTCTATCTTTCCCCCGGCAAATACTGGCACAAAAGCACCAACAAAATTACTTTGATCATTTTGTAGTCACTCTTTGGAAAACTGTCCATAAAATGTGGGTGGGGCTGCCCCTTGTATAATGACAAAGTATTTTGTAGTAGCAACTGGAGATAAAAGGCATTAAAAACTGTTTTTCTTTATTCCAAAAATTCTTTCGCTACAATTTTCATAAAGTAGTCTCTCCTTCTCTATTTCAAATGTGAGGCAAGGAGAAAACATAGGCTTTATTATACCTTGGCTAATATTTTAATTTGAAGATGGGATAATACTTAAAATTGCACAAAGTAAATGCCTTTAATTGACACAGTGGTATTCCGCACACTGCCAGAAAGGAAATCTGTATGCAGTCCTCTTCGCTCATATTCAAGAGTTACAGCAGCTCTTTCCAAGCCTAGGTAAGATCTGTCCCGCCCATCTTTGATCCCAGCTGATCCCAGAAATGAAAGTCTCTCTTTCAGGCACTTCCATTGTCCAGCAAATCTCAATGTCCCTATATGAACTCTCTCAATTGGGATAGCTAGAAAAACAGTCACCAGAGGAACAAGACCTTTTTTGATAGCTACATTGTTCCTTTTAAGATCGGACTCCTGCTCAGATTAAATGTCCATGTGGGTCCTCCCTGGTCCATGGCCTGGCCCAGCTGCTTTTCTTGGGGAACTCTCAACTCCTCCCTTACCGCATGGCTCCTCAGAATTCACACAAATCTCCTCCCTTCATTCATGTAGCACAGTCGGTCAATTCTATCACCTTTGATTGATTTCTCCTCAGTAACTGCTGACCCACATAGATTAAGCCTCCGACTATCTTGGTTTGGTCTCCCCATGCCAAGAGGCGACACTGGCAGCAACCTTTCATCAGTACATCTCTGGCAGGGGTTAGGTTTCTGTCCCTTATAAGCTGCTTCTTCACACTGAGATTAAAAGACATTTCAATCAAACTACCCATGGGTCTCAGTACTGAATCCTGGTCACGTGGTCATATCCTCTGCCCCTGAATAGCTTTCTTTGATGCTCTCAGAAACGGTGTTCAAAGCATCAAGTTCGATTCAGGTCGCTTCCCAACACATTGCTCCTTGGCCGTGCTCCACCGTTACCACCATTAAAAGGGTAAAGGCTAAAAATCCCTTTATTAGGAGGATATCCAATCATTTTTATCCTGTTATCTGAAAGGAAATTGTCTGGCCACCTGAATACATTTCTTGTGGAAGGTTTCTTAAAAGATCTTTAGGAAATTCTCAATTACCTGCTAATATATCAGTATTCAACCGTCCTGATCCATATACTTATTAGTTAGATTTCCCTATGTTTTGACAGACTCACAGTTTCATCAAAAGTACAGTTAAATTGGGAAGGGATTCAAGCTAGGCATGAAGAAGTCAGGTTAGTATCGAAGATGTTCTCTTTAAACAGCCCTTCAAATGAACACATCAACATGCTTAATACTTCTATCTTAGTGAGAGGATTATTAGCTCTCATTATTTATTGGTCTGCCCGCTTTTATTAACACAGGCACTGGGCATTAGTAAAGCTGGCTCTCATTCAAAATACACTCTCTCTATTGGAAAACAAAGTCACACAAGAACCCCTAGGCACCCCTGAGAAAAGAAGCCTTGCTGGTTTAGTTTAGACAAAAACTAAACTTCAGAAAAATACCCTGAAAGTATTCACATCTTAAAGCTGCCTTTGTAGAAGAAGTTCAACTCTCTGCAGGCAGGAACTACATGGAATTCATATTTTCTTATCTTATGTTCCTATAATAAATAACTGAACCAAATCCCATTTCCCAAGCTTTGGCCACTTCCTGGGTGAACGATAAGATTGATTTCCTCTGTAGGGATGTTTTCAGACTGTTTATGCGTCAGACATCTGTGCGCAGTGGAACATACGTCCTGCTCACTGTTTTCATTGCTTCAATAGGTCCCTTGTAAACTGGGTAGCAAACATGTTAAACTTGTATTAAAACTTCCCCCAAGAACTTTGCTTGAGATATTGAGACCTCTTTTAACTCTAAGCACACTAACCCTTTTTAAAAACTATCAACCACAAGCATGTTATGCTCTTTAAGCATAGGCTGGCACCATAGCAGCTACCAAGGCTTTTGAATTAAGTCTGTTCTTATACAACCATCCCATTTTCTTTGCCTTGAAAATGTCTCCAAAGCACCTCAATGGAGGAAGGCAATATCAAAATACATGCTTTCAAGAGCAGTAAGATAATTCCAGGAGATGGTAGTCATTTAAAAAAAAATTTTTTTTAAGATTTTGCAGATAAATATGGCAATGTAGGGAAACAATCACTCTAAAAATTGGTTGACAGCAGCAAAATAGGTACGTTCCTTACAAGGGGCGATTTGGCAACTCAGTTAAAAACACTCCCTATGGGAACACACTTTAACCTAGCAGCTCTGCTTCCAGGACACATCCTGAGGAACAATTATGTGCCAAAGATTTAGCTGTAAGTGCATCTGTCACAGCATGTTACAGGGAAGCTGGAAACAACCTAAATGCTCCAAAATGAAAGATTAATAAAATAAATAATGTTATTTCTATAATGGGTACTCAGTCATTGAAAATAACATTGTACATAATACTGACGTGTTCAGGTATTTACAATATATTGCGTGGAAAAAGCAAGCTAAAAAATAACATGCATAATATAATAAACTTTTTGCTTAGAATTATATAAATATACTGTTTTTCATTAAATTTAAAATGCTATCGTCGACAGTAAGTTACTTAAACATATCAGTAAGAAAGACAAAGTGCCACCACAATTAAGCTATGATGCTCCAAAGCTTGTCAATTACATCTTGATTTTAAAGAAGCTAAAATGTGAAATAGTATACACTTATCAGAATCAACCAAAAGGGGTGGAGGGCCGTATGTGTGTAAAATTTTTGCAGCTTCAGAGTAAGGAAGAATTTTAGACAAGCAACAAAGGGCACGTGAAGAAAACGAACAAATTTGACTCTTAAAATTTTGAACTCTAGTACAGTCAAAAGCAACATTAATTAAAAAGTGAAAAGACAAGCCATGGACTGGAAGAAAATGTTTGCAAAGCATATAACGAAGAAGCAATTATGCCCAGCATATATTAAGAAATCCTGCAGATTAAAGAGAAAAAGACAAACAGCCAAGTAGAAAAAGACAAAAAATACAGGAATAGGCAACTGACAGAAAAGGAAACAAAAGAACCAAATAAATACATATAAAAAGAGGTTCGATCTCAATGGTAAGCAAGGAAATTCAAAATAAAACTGCAAAGAGATACCACTCACACTGGCCAAAAGGAGAAAACAATCTCACAATACTGTTTCAGCAGGAATGCTAAAGTATGCACATGGGAAAGTGAATTGGGAAAAGCAATTTGATAGTATCTACTAAAAGTCAAGTTCTTCATCCCCTACAACAAAACATTCCAGTTCTAGCACATGCCTCCAGCAAGCAAACATGTACACAAAAAAGCATGCACAGAAAAACTTGACTGTAACATTGTTTATAAATACGAAGAGACAATTATAATATAAATGTTGTAAATATAAAATATATGTTCTTTAAAT